ACTTCATTTTTTTTCTATGTTCCGATCAGATGAGGAACCCTGGCAGAGTGCTCACCTAGCGCATGCAAGACCCTGGGTTTGATCCTCTGCACCACATAAAAATAAATAAAGGCATTGTATCCAACTACAATTAAAAAATAAAATATTTTAGAAAAAAATCCCTGACCACTAAAGCTCCAAATCAAATCAGACCAGAAGCTGAGGAAAATACTACTTAAGAGAAAAAAAAAAAAAACATGGAAAGTGCTGTGAAACCACAGAATAAAGAAAAGTGACTCATTTGTGCTTCTGCTGGTCCTTGGGCTAGCTGATGGGCCAGTTCTGCCAAAGCTTTTTTTATTTTTATTCCAGGGGTGGGGGTAGATTAGTAGTGGGGATTGAACCCAAGGATGTTTCACCACTGAAGTACATCCTCATCCCCTTTTTGTTTTGAGACAGGTTCTCAAGTTACAACATAAGTTGCTCAGGGCATTGTTGAAGTTGCTGAGGCTGGCTTTGAACTCGAAATCCTCTTGCCTCAGCCTCCTGAGCCACTAGGATTATAGGCGTGCACCTAAGGGTTCACTTTAGCTGGCATATCTATCATACTGAGAGAAGAGGATTCTCTAGTACCTGTGAAATTCTGAGCCTTTGCATCTAAAAACATGCTTGTCTTTCAAGGTTGTGATAACTGAGATAATGCATATAAAGTGTACCCCAACATTAAGCACACTAATGCTTTTTAGCTCAAACCAAATGATATGTTATTAATATGCAAAGAAATTTCTTTTGGCCAGTCAGGACTTTTACCTAGTATTGACTATTGCCTAAAACCCTGGTGAATATCTGTCTTGTCTTTACCAGGTTCTGTTTCAGATTCAGTCAGTTTGTTCAAAAATTTAAGTCCCACAAATATCACATTTAAATAATAATAATAACCCAAACAATTTAAAATTTATGGAGACAGTGCAGGTCAGTAACAGGCCAAATTGAGATTCCAGCTGCAATTTCCTTGTTATCTTTTTCACAAACTCTTTCTAATGGAAATGTAATAGACTATATCCACCTTGTCCTCTTCCCAGCTGCTATGCATTTCTTTACAGTTACACACTGGTGACTTAGGAAATCCTGAATTCTTTGTTCTGTTTTCTTTTAACAAGGATATTAGTAAAGAACATTCATTCAGCCAGGTGCAGTGGTGCACACCTGTAATCCCAGCAATTCAGGAGGCTGAAGACAGGAAGGTCACAAGTTGAAGGCCAGTCTCAGCAGTTTAGCAAGGCCCTAAGCCATTTGGGAAGACCCTGTCTCAAAAAGGACTGAGGAGGTGGCTCAGTGGTAAAGTGCCCCTGGGTTCAATCCCTAATACCAAAAAAGAAAAAAAAAACATTTTCATTCAGCGAAAATGGAGTATCTACTCAGTGCTAGGCATTAAAAACATCAGGAGCAAAATCAAATATGCTCCCTGGATGAGCATGAGGAGAGGAGTAGACAGTCAACAACCTTCATATAGATGTATAAATACAAGTGATTATCAGCTTATTGAACATCACGAGAGCTACATGTCCTGAAAAAGACCCTAACTCACTATGGTTTGTATCTGGAATGGTCACCTCAAGTTTCATAGTTTCAGGCTGGGACTGTGGCTCAACTGTAGTGCACTTACTTGCCTGGCATGTGTAAGGCACTCAGGGTTTGGTTTTCAGCACCATATATAAATGAATAAAAGATGTATCAACAAGAAAAAAAAATTGGAGGCTGGGGATGTGGCTCAAGTGGTAGCGCACTTGACTGGCATGCGTGCGGCCCGGGTTCAATCCTCAGCACCACATACAAACAAAGATGTTGTGTCCGCCGAAAACTAAATAAATAAAAAGAAAAAAATTCATGGTTTTGGGTGGGGTTTTTTTTTTTTTTTTTTTTGGTAGGGATTGAATCCAGGATGCTTTTCAAAATAGACTGTTTTTAGCTGGGCACAGTGGCACACATTTCTAATCCCAGCAAATCTGCTCAACTCAGGAAGTTGAGGTAAGAGGTCTTAATGAGGTTAATGAGTCTCTAAACAATTTAGTGAGAACCTGTAACAAAATAAAAACTAAAAGGGGCTTGGGACGTAGCTCAATAGTAGAATATCCCTTGGTTAAATCTCCAGTACCCCGTCCCCAACAAAAAAAGAATATTTTTTTTTTAATTGTATTAAGATTTAGCAACAGTTGGTGGGTAGAAGCTATATCTTTTTTGTATTCACAAACCAGTTTGTCAATGACCTACCCCCGAAAATTGTACTACACTACTTCACTAGGTATTATTCTGCCCCCTCAGGCCTTATGTTTGGGGTCCCTGGTATAAAATATATATAGTATAAAGTTTCCTTCCACATTCCCATCTTTTTTTTTTTTTTTTAAAGACCAGTTTCCTGTGTTGCCTAGGCTGACCCTGAACTAGATTCAAGCAAAGCTCTAGCCTTAGCCTCTGGAGTAGCTGGGACTACACTATTGGCTACCACATCCAAGTTCCTGTTTCCTTTAAAACTGGTTAACAGTATTTCTTGTATAAAGACTATATAGAATATAAAAATAGGTTACATAAAAGCATCAAATACTCTAATTTTTGGTCTTTTTATTGAATATATCTTGGGGACTTTTTTTTTTAAATACTAAGGAGATTGAACCCAGACGAACTGAACTACTGAGTTACATCCCCAGCCTCTTTTATTTTGAGACAGGGTTTCATTAAATTACTTAGGACCTCACTAAGTAGCTGACACTGGCCTTCAACTTGCAATCTTCTTGCCTCAGCCTCCTGAGCCATGTACTACTACATCTGGCTCCTTTTTCTCTTTGGGGACAAGGTCTCACTAGGTTGCCTAGGCTGGCCTCCATCTTGTGATTCTCCTGCTTCACTCTCCCCAGTCACTAGGATTATAGGTGTGCACAACCGCACCTGGCTTATTTTAATTTTTTTCTTTTTCAGGTACTGGGGATAGAACCCAGGGGCCCTTACCTCTGAGCTACATCCCAGCACCCTGCTTTTTTCTTTTTAATTTGAGACAGGGTCTTGCTAAGTTGCCCAGGTTGGCCTCTAACTTCCAATCCTCCTGCCTCAGCCTATCAAGTAGCTGGTACTACAGGTGTGCGCCACCATGCCTAGCTTTTCTTGGAGACATTTCCATATACACGGTTACTTATATGCGGTTACTTGACTTATATGCTGATAATATGACACATAAATAACATGTTTCTTTTTTTAGGGAGGTAGTGGGTATTGAACCCAGGGGCATTCCACCACTGAGCCACATCCCCAGCCTCTTATTTTTTGAGATAGAGTCTGGCTAAGTTGCTGAGGCTTGCTTAGAATTTGTGACCCTCCAGCCTCACCCTCCCAAATAACTGAGATATCAGGCAAGCACCACTCTGCCCAGCTAGTTAAGTTACATTATTTTGAACAACTGCCAAATATTACATTGTATAATGATGTATTTGTTATTTATTTAGGTTGTTTATGGGTTTGGCTTGGTTTGGGGTGTTATAAACAGTTTTGCAGTGGACACTGTGCATTTTAATTTTTTTCTTTCCCACCCTCTGCCACCAACTGGGAGTTAAACCCAGGGCTTCCCAAGTGCTCTACCTTGGAGCTAGATTCCCAACTCTTTGCATCTGTATCTTGATGGACTTTAACATATCTTTCCATAAGAAAACATTAGGTCAATTTGTACATATGTACATTTAACTTTTTGAAACAGTAATAACACTAATCAAGGCAGAAAATTAGCTCACATTGTAATAATTAGAGACATAAATCAACAAAATATAAAATGTTGGCTAGAGAGAAAGCTCAGTGGTAAAGCACTGGCCTAGCACGTATGAGGCCCATCACCACATAAATATCACAACAACAAAAAAGATTATATATGTAAAAAATAAAATGTCAAGGAAACAAAAGGATAAAGAGTGAGCAGTTGGAAGAGAGAGCAGTTGCAGCGGTGAGGAGAGGCTCTCTTAGAAGAGCTGAGAATCAAGTGCCGAGAAGGAGAATGCTATGCAACGATATGGAGGCCGATTGGTGGTGGTGGTGGGGGAACAAATGCAAAGATCCTAGGGACGGAATGAACTTGACTTAGTGGAAAAGCAGTTAAGGAAGCCAGTATGTTTTAATCCCAGCGGCTCAGGAGGCTCGCAAGTAGACAGCCTTGGCAAATTAACAAGGCCCTGAGCAACTTAGCCAGACCCTTTTTTTTGAAAAAGGGAGATTTTTTGAAAATAAAGTGCTGGGATTGTTGCTAAGTGGTTAGCGCCCCTGGAGTTAAATCTCTAGTAGCAAAAACCAAAAAAATAAAAAATAAAGCCGGAGCGGGGCGGTGTATAGAGAGGGAGGGACTAGTATGTCAGATTGGTTAGGCAAGGACTAATGTACGGACTGAAAGGTGATGATGATTAACAAGCAGTTCGGATTTCGCCCCTCCGTACGCTGAGAGGACTCGTGGATTCTAAATGGGAGTGACAGGATCCATAATGAACAAAGCGAAGGACGAAGCCACTTAACCAGCGGGGTGACAGTGGGCAAACTCCCAATCGCGCTACAGCTCTTTCACCCTCTGAAACCGCACAATAACCGCCGCCACAGACCGCTGTGAAGGCCCACAGTCAAGCCTTCGGAAACCGCAGCGACTTTACCTGTCCTCCAGTACTGACTCCATGGGCTCTACCCCGTCAGTGTCCACCGCGTGGAGCCGGTCAGCGAAGGCGACGGCTTTCTCCAGCCGCACCACCGCCTCGCGGCTGCCGAAGTCCACCAGCGCTAGACGTTCCAGGTGCTCAATCACGTCGGCCGTGATCCGCCCGCTTCCCTGGGGATACGGAAGGGACATGGATCACGGAGAGGCCTAGGCCATCTCTCAGCCGCCCTCCTAGACGCCCCTGGCCTTTACCTGAGAATCCGCCTGGCAGGTGAAGCCCCGGCGCCGGCCCAGCGGGACCCGAAGAGCCAGCCACACCGCCCGTGCCCACATTTCTTCCCTTTTCGGCCTCCGTAGTGCGCCCAAATGAACTGCCCAGCGACACGTTTAAGAGTGATGACATCAGAGTGCGCCTCCGTCGCCTCCGCCATAGCCATGAACAGCGTCGGGGAGGCTTGCACCGACATGAAGCGCGAGTATGACCAGTGCTTCAATCGCTGGTTTGCCGAAAAGTTCCTCAAGGGAGACGGCTCCGGGGACCCGTGCACCGACCTCTTCAAACGCTACCAGCAGTGCGTGCAGGTGAGCCGCACCCGAGTCCTGGTCTACCCCGAGGCCCCGCGTTCTCCGCTGTGTCCCCAGCCACAAGCCTCGCGTCTGACGGACGTTGGCATCAGGAGGGTGGAAGAAAGCCTCAGTGAGGCCGGTGGCAGCAGCCCTCTCCCCTACCATCACCACTGAGTCCCCTGAATGTCTCTCCGGTTCAACGTTTTTGCAATGCTTTACTTTTTACGGAGCACAGTACATTCGTTGGTTCATTTTTTAGGTGTTCTTCCTGAACTTGCAAAGTGGCCGCAGTTATCTATATTTTATATGTGGGAAACTAACACTCAGAAGCGTAAATTAATTGGCTTAAGTTCACTAGTACTAGGTTTCCGTGATTCTTTTGCCGGTGGCGTACCTTTCTACTGTTACTGTAGGGTGGGCCAGGTGGTTACCGTCTTCTGGCCTGTTCCACACTGTGGAGGGTCCCGTTGTTTTCGTATAATTCCTTCCTTGGCCTATTTTTCGGACCGTTTACTAACTGGAGCTAATAAAGCTTCATTCTTGCGCAAGGCGCGTATAAGTGCTCTGCGTTGTAAAAAACAGCCCTGGGAAAAGCACTTCGCTAAATTAACCTAAAATATCCTTCTGTAATTCCACCAGGGAGTTGCTGCCTTTACCCTATTTTCAGATGAGGACAGTGAGGCTGGCAAAGCCAGTAAGCCCGGAATCCAGATTTGAACTCATGTCTATCACTAAAATAGTGGGGATGGCATTTGTCAGATTTCACTTCTGAATTTTGAATTTTAACGGTTCCCTTCGCAACTCCTTTTGAATCTCTCTGTTTTTACACTTGCTTTCTTTATAATGGTACTATTAAAAAGTATGTCATTTGAATCTTGGGTTGTGAGTCTATGTAATTCATTTTTTTAAAATGTTTATTTTCTAGTTGTAGTTGGACAGGATCCCTCTATTTCATTTTATTTTTATGTGGTGCTGAGAATCGAATTTGGGGCCTCACACATGCTAGGCAAAAGCTCCACCACTGAGCCACAACCCCAGCCCCTATGTAGTTCATTCTGATTTTACCTTTGTGGCAACACCTTTTATTTACAAAGTTTTGATTTTAAGTTTCCTATACAACTTTATAACGTATTTTCTTTTTTCCATCAGAAAGCAATAAAAGAGAAAGAGATTCCTATTGAAGGACTGGAGTTCATGGGCCATGGCAAAGAAAAGCCTGAAAACTCTTCTTGATATTAACTGTCACCTTGAAAATGGATTCCTATATCAGGAAATTGAGGACTCTGGATTTTGTCAACTAAGGCTGTGAAGATAGCTGTAGGATTCAATGAATATAGGAGGAAATTATTTTATTTCTTCTCTATTGATGTTTTCCTCTCACTTGTAAAAGATGATGAACCACCACTCTGCTTTGAGATGATTTCTTACTTGATCTGGCATCTTCCAGAACCTCAGTGGGCTAAAACTGAACAGTTTCTTGGGATTATGGTTGCAATACCTGGTCTGAAATCAGCTTTAAATATATCTTGTATATAAATTATTGATAAACTAGTCAAGATGAGCAGGGTTGCCTGACTTCTTGGTTTTGCTGCAAAGGACATTAGCTACATTGTACTGAGGTCGTTGTTCATGAAAACAATTGGTTAGGACTTCTTTCTTCTCTCAGGGAGCTAATGCTTTAAAAAAGGAATCCAGGCACAACAGTTTCATCCAGTTTATTTTTATAACAGTTGAAAAAGATTGCTGGTGGCCTGGGTAAGCAAAGAGGAAGACATTCTTTAACAGACAGTTCCCTGCCTTAATAAGAGGTGTCCAATTAAGACATGAAAGCTTCAAGAATGTTAAAACGAACACCATTTCAGAGCTCACAGCATAGTTCTGGAACTACGTTACTTGGAGTTGCTATGGCAAAAGAATCCAAACTACAAAAATTTGTTATTGCCAGTTATCAACCCAAGTTAATGAATTAAGTCAACCTGCATATCATAAAAATGTCAAAATGCTGCATCTGGTTAAATGGAGGGGAAAGGTGCTTTCTTCATTTGCCTTGTTTGCCCACCCTGCCCTATATATTATGTCTGTAATCATGATGATGAAATAAATTTTAACATTTAGTTTTTATCATTATTTGCCCCTGGAATTCAAGTGTACTTTATGGAATACCTATTACTTTGTTACCCTACATAATCTCATATATACACTGAAGAGAGGTTTGTGCTTTATAATTTAAAGCTGAAGAAAAAATGAGAATCAGCTAGTGTGGTGGCACAGCCTATAATCCCAGTTACTTGGGAGGCTGAGGTGAGAAGTTTGCAAATTTGAGGCCAGATTGGGCAACTTAGTGAAACACTAATCTTAATTAAAAATTTTTAAAAGGGGGCTGGGTGCAGTGGTGCAGTGGCTTGGGAGGCTGAAGCAGGAGGATCGTTAATTCAAAGCCAGCCTCAGCAAAAGCAAGGCTCTAAGCAACTCAGTGAGACCTTATCTCTAAATAAAATACAAAAAACAGGGCTGGTGATGTAGCTCAGTGATAAAGCATTTCCCTAGCATGTGTGAGGCCCTGGGTGGAATTTCACAATTCTGAAAAAAAGAAAAAGTGAAGATTTGTCTAACTTAGGTAATATGGTGTAGAACCGTGTAGAGGTGAGGTATAGAAACCTCGCTTTTTCCCAAAATTTATATCATAGTAGTCTACACAAAATTTTCTTATTTTTGGTACTGAAGATTGAAACCAGGGGTACTTAACCTCTGAACCACATCCCTAACCCTATTTTGAGACAAAGTCTGCTAAATTGCTTAGGGCCTTGCTCAGTTGCTTAGGCTGGTATTGAATTTGTGATCCTGCTGAAAAAGGATCCAACTCAGCCTCCTGAGATGCTGGAATTACAGGTATATACCACCATACCCCCACCACACTTTCTTAAAATAAATTTGTATTTCATTACCAGAAAATGTCAGGAACAGATGATTACTTACATACTCTAGAAAGTAATTTAATCCCCACAAATACCTATCTTGAAGAATTTGGTGTATTATTATATGCCCAAAGATAGTATGAAGTTGATTTTCAGGAGGCCTAAATTCTGTTTTTTCTCCACTTGACCAATTAGAACTTCATATTTAATGTGACTGGCCCTTAATGTCATTTGAAAACATATTATAGAAAAAATAGGACTGGGGATGTAGCCCAGTGAAGTGCCCCTGGGTTCAATCCCTAGTACCACTAAATGTATTTATGTATGTGTATACATATATATGTATGTGTATATATCTATATTGGATATATACATACATGTTTGTTTATTTGTTACTCAGTTAAGGAAAGCCTGACAGCAAGCTGAAATTAAGTACTGTTAAGTACTTCTATCCTAAATTCAGACTGGCTACTAGCACAACAGCTTTGTAAGAACTGAGTGCAGAGTACAGCCAAGTGTGGTGGTGCATATCTGTAATCCCAGTGGTTTAGGAGGCAGAGGCAGGAAAATCATGAATTCAAAGTCAGCCTCAGCAATTTAGCGAGGAGCTAAGCAACTCAGTGAGACCCTGTCTCTAAATAAAATTCAAAATAGGGCTGGGGATGTGGCTCAATGGTTGAGTAGTGCCCCGAGTTCAATCCCCAATACCAAAAAAAAAAAAAAAGGAACTGAGTGCAAGGTGGTATATCACAAAATGCAAATATAAGATTCTTTTTTTTCTTTTTTGCAGTACTGGGGATTGAATCCAGTGGTGTTGTAATACTGAACTGTATCTCCAGTCTTTTTATTTTTCATTTTGATACAGGGTTCACATTAAGCAGCCTAGACTGGCCTCAAACTTGCAGTCAATCCTGTCTCAGCATCCTGAGTAGCTGAGATTACAGGTATTCACCACCGCATATATTATCACTGATTGCCAAAACAGATCTGTTAAGAATTCTTTGCTGGGTGTAGTGGCACACACCTGTAATCCTAGTGAATAGGAGACTGAGGCTGGTGGATCACAAGTTTGAAGCCAACCTCAGCAGATTTAGTGAGCCCTAAGCAACTTAGGGAAACCCTGTCTCAAAAAACTTAAAGGGCTGGGGGTATGGCTCAATGACAAGGCACCCTGGGTTCAATTCCCAGTACCAAAAACAAGCAAACAAAAACCAAAACAATCCTTCAAGTTGCATGTGCCAACAGTTCCATCCACTGAGGTGCTGAGGCAGAATTGTTTAAGCCTAGGAGCTTGAGACCAGCCTGGGCAACATAGCAAGATCTCATCTCAAGAAACTTCTTTGATGTATATTTAAAAGCTTATCATATTCAAATTATTGTTAAGTCTAAAATATCCACATATTAATAGCTTTCTTGCTTCATGGACACATTCTAGCAAAAGGAATATTTAAATTGCTACTCAAAAAATAATTCTGACTGTTCCTTATCCTATTTTGACTTCATCCTCTCCAGATGTAACTCTAACTACCTCAGCTAATTTAAATATTTTCAATTTTGATGATAAATTTATCACCCTTTCAAGGCAATTTTGTAACTATTACTATTTCTAATTCTTTTTTAAAAATATATATTTTAGTTGTGGATGGACATGTTTGTCTTATTTTTATGTGGTGCTTAGGATCAAACCCAGTGCCTCATACATGCTAGGCTACTGCTCCGCCACTGAGCTATAGCCCCAGCCCTGTTTCTCCTCATTCTTAATGGTTATGGGATCATTTTGATTTCAGAAATAAATAAAGCCAAGACTACCAAGCAGAAATGTGTCCCACTGACTGTATTTCTAAAGGTTTCTGGCCTTTCCAACCTTGAAGATGCTAAATCTTAACTCCAAGATGAAAACAACTCCTCTGGAGAAAATTTTCCAACCATGCAGAGGATTCTGCACCAAATGCTTCTGGACTAGGACATGAGAAAGCTGAAACCCAGAGGAAGCACCTCCTACTGAATCGCAGGTATCTCAGGTGTAAACTACTGTCAATCTGCTGGCCATTAAATGTCTTGGCACCCCCAGTCTGTCAGGAACCTCTTTAAATACTTCATTAGCTCTGGTGTTCTGTACACTGGTCCCTTGGCTTTACCTACCCTAGGCACAAGAAACCAAGAATCTGTTAGTTATTTAGTGAGGTGAACTGGATCTTAAATACTATCAAAAGCAGACATAGACCTTCACTGCAGAAACAGAAATAATAAAATTAATTTCTAAGAAAAAATAAAGAATGTACTTTCACTCAATGCAATTTAAGTTTAAGTTATTTATTTAAGCCATCTCCTGCCTCAAAGAGATGGAAAATCAGTATAATGGTCATCAATTGGTAAATGTAAAGTGAACTTAAGGTCCCATATACTTTTCTGGTCTTCATGCAGTGTAATGGTCCAAACCAGTGCTGTGGTCCCCAGTGCCTGAGTCATGGTCCAGATGCTCTATTCATCTTCATAGCCAGTTGGAAGTGGATTCACATGAGGATTATGGAATAGAGTATGGTTACCATCTCCCCAGGGGAAGGGCTGTGAAATGAAGATGTCAATTAGATACTTCCAGAGAACAGTTCAGAAAGAACACTGCCATGAACTACTTAGAACACAGTAACATACAAAAAGCAAAACAAAAATGAAAAGTAAGTCCTTTATTAGCATATTTCAACATTCCCATAATTTAAGGGAGCTCCTATAATGACTGTGGGGGGGAGGTGTCTTTTTTTTTTTTCCTTCAGTCCTGGGGATTAAACTCAGGGGTGTTTTACCACTGGGCCATATTCCCAGGCCTTTTAAATTTTTTTATTTTGAGACAGTCTCACTAAATTGCTCAGGCTGGCCTCTAACCAACTTGAGATCATCCTGCCTCAGCCTCCCAAGTAGCTGGGATTGTAAGTGTGCACCACCACACCTGGCCCAGGAGCCATTCTTAAAATAGACAATACTGGTAACTAGTATATCCAGTGCTAGATTTTTTTAAGTATTTATTTTTTAGTTATAGTTGGACACAATATCTTTATTTTATTTATTTTTATGTGGTGCTGAGGATCGAACCCAGGGCCTCACACGTGCTAAGTGAGCACTCTACCGCTGAGCCACAATCCCAGCCCCTCCAGGGCTAGATTTGTGAAAGTGTAATCTTTAAACCTGGCACGGTAATGCATGCCTATAATCCCCCAACTACTAAGGAGGTGGAGAAAGGAAGTTTTGTTTGTTGTTGTTTTATGGGGAGGCGGAGGGAGAACCCAGGAGCCCCTTTATTTTTTAATTTTGAGACACGGCTTCACTAAATTGCTGAGTCTGGCATCAAACTTGCAATGCTCTTGCCTCAGTCTCCCAAGTTGCTAGGATTACCAGCATATATCAGTGGAATCAGAAGATTTCTTGAGCCCATGAGTTTGAGGACAGCCTGGGTTATGCAGTGAGACCCTGTCTTGGGTGGGGAGGGAAAAAAAGTCAGGTTGGGATATAGCTCAGTGGTAGAGCACTTATCTAGTATGTGTGAGGCCTTGGGTTCCTTCCCAGTATTGCAGAAAAGTAAAGAAAGAAAAAGTGTAATTCTCAAATCGCCTGTATCAGAATGGTACAGTGGAGGAGATACTTATTTAAATAAGATTTTAGGCTTTATCCCAGACCTAAAACACTCTCTGGACTGGGAAACTACAAACCACCCTCAATTACTTTGCTCACCACATTTGAAAGCATGACTCTAGAGCAATGGTTTCCAGCCCAGGGTGGTTTTTGCCCCTCCAGGGTACACGGAGTAGTATTTGGAGACATTGGGGGATGAACAGTACTGCCATCTAGTGGATAGTGCCCAAGGATGATGTTAAACAAATGACTGCCATAGCTGAATAGCCAAAGGGAAAACAAGATAGGTATTGTAGGGGGTAGAGGAAGCTATCAGTCTCTTTATTATGAAGGTAGCACCTGGCAGATGCTCAGATTTTAGAAAGCTGAGCTATGTTCAGACCTTGCCACTCCATAAAGGTTTCCCCGAATCTCCCAAGTTTTATGCAACAAACAGCTGTTTCATAGAACTTCAGAACGCAAAACGCTGGATGCATCAGAAGAAAGGAAACCTGAAGGGCACTCACAGTTATGACCTTGGAAACAAATGACATGACCCCAAACAGTTAATTTCTAATTGCGAGAATTAGACGAAAAACTGTACACGCC